TGATGCCATTTCTTAGTTGGACCGCCCTTGACCTTTTTCCACCCGCTAATTGCCTCGGCACACACCACATGCCGTGGCAAAAACACAATGACATATGTAAGCAAAATTCTTTTTGGTCCGAGTTCGAGCGTTATCAGTCAGTTGAAACTGAGCATTTAAACAATCATACCATACAAACGCACGAGCTGAAATGACTCACTAAAACAGCGTGCTGAACAGATGAGTGAAGTAATTGGGTTTGGTATCAGGAACAATTGGTCCGATGATTAAATTCCTTCCCATACTTCAACCCCGTGATTTTCCCTCCTTATTGAACCGAATGATTCACGTCTTCGCTTCCAGTTTGGATCATACATATTCTTCATGTGTTCATGTGTATACAAAAACGGTGGATAGATCGAATGCACCCACAACATTTCCCTATGTTTGTAAAACTTCAACTCAGACCGTGTGGTGCTCACATGATCAATCCAGATGATACACGCACGTTAGATCAATATCAGGTTTTTTCTGTCGGGAAACTTAATCATGTCTGACCCCGATCCGTTCGACCAACATTGATTTGCAATCGAAACCACATCGAGGCTGATTTCTAAGCTTCCTGGTGTGTACCAGGACAATTAGGCCAGCGAAAGGACGGTAGAGTAAGACAAAACACGTGATTGTCACCTTCCAGTTGACAGGGTTTGACACCCGTGTACCTAACCTCGTCTCTTACCCCTGAAATCCGTAACCACAGACTAATAACTCGGCCATGGTTTGAAGGGGTTAAAAGATCATTAGATTTCTCTTTTGCTATTGAAGCGATTGCCTACAAGCAGTGTATTTTGCTGTAAAACGAGCGCCCGGGTCATGGCTAATAAGGGGGGTTCAAAATATTATCTTTGTTTTTTTAACATAAACACAAATTCAAGTAATGGGATCAATATTATCGAAAAACTGAAAGACACCACCGGATGTGGTATGCTCTATTTCGCGGCTGGTATCGGACGGAACACACAACGACCGCGGTGTATGTTTGGACGTGGACCAATGTCCTTTTTGTTACATGAAAGTGAATATAGTAAAAGGGGTAAACCCCGCTGCCCGCTGTAAGTGGGGAATATTCAAGGTAGAATCAGCTTGTTTTGCTTCTGCGTTTAAAGACAAGGATGTTGTACGTTGGAGGGAGAGTGTTCCATAGTTGTTCAGTTCTTGAGAAAGCTAGAAATGCAACACCTGGGGGGGGGGTAGTCATTTGAAATGGATGGCTAACCGATTATGCGAGGGATCTACAAGGACGAACAAGGGGGAGAGGGACAGGAACGGAAAGTTCACTAGAACAAAATACAAAGTAGTATAGATAAAATATGGATCAAGAAGACTGCTCGACGATGAGCTAGCAACTGCAAGTTACACGTTAGGGACTGGTCGTTGATGAGATGGATGGCTTTAATTTGAACCCGGTCACGAAGAGAAAGAGAGGTGGACGATGCTTCACCCAACAAATGACTACAGTATTCGAGTATAGGACGAATCTGAGCTTTGTAACGCGACGAGATAAATGTGGGGTAAAGAAATGTCTGGCGCAGAAGAGGAAGGCGATTTTACGCGCATCACGGGAGACAAGTAGATAAATATATGGTGACCATAGAAAAGAAGATAAGGAAAATCCCGAATCCCTGGTTGCATGAATCTGTGAAACGGAGAATATTCAATTTAAAATTTAACGAAGGGAAAAGGTGCGTGTTTAAGAGAAATTGACATAAGGGAAGTTTTGCTGGCATTGAAGAGAATGCGGTTGAGACAGCCCCAAGCAGAAACAAGAACTAGATCAGAATTTATCGATTGCATGTCATTCATCCTGGAAGACGAGGGGGGGTCACTCACAACACACAGGCCTTTAGTTCGTCAATTCAATGCGATACCAGTGTGAAATGGTCCCTTTATTTAACACACCCTAGTGTGATGACCAGTTACACGATCTGACAACGTTAGGTTGGACTGTTTGGACTGGGAAATCACTTACACATTAAATGAGACGTGTGTATTACTGGACGGGGAAGCGGCTCAACAGCAAAATTGAGCGGTGCCGGGGTCCGAAGATGGGCCCGGTATCAGTGGCTAGTCATCCGTTTAACGTCTGCACTACAGTGTAAATCGGACATATCATAGCGAGTTCAAGACTCGGGTCTTATGTATACTATAGCACTGGAATCATAGACTTACCATGAATCGACGCGTTGGATTCGTCCATTTCGGATCGTTTCCTTTTCTTCGATTTTGTTGGTTCCGCAACCGACGTATCCATTGCGTCTGAAATAGAACGAGTAGACAAAACCAAATTGCTTCACAAAAGCCGGTCGGTGAGAAATTAACTAACCAGCATACTGATAATCTGTAATGTGTAAGTTCCAACTGCACTGTGGCAAACAAAACAAAGTGAGGTGCTACCCTGGAATTTCGGCAACAATAACTGAGAAAATCTGGCAGTTATGTCCCAGTGCTGTGTGTACACATGGTTCTTTAACGGAACAAGATTTGAAGCAGTTCATGAAATTGGGGCACAGTGATTCTCGATTGAGCAATGTTGTCTGTACAAATTTCGAAAACGTCAGAAAATTGGCCGAAAATGTTTAGCGTTATCGGAATAAACTGTAACACGTTCCACAGTGTTGCGCAAGATGATAGGCGGTAGTGGCTCGGTGGTAACGTCAACAAATTATCACCCCTGGGATGTGCATTCGAATCCCATCACCACTGCCTAACTTTCCCCATTGTGTTTTGAATGACAGGCCTTTGGTTGGCCGCTTCCTCATCCTGAAAATTGTATCTTTGTATATTAAATAAAGGGAAGTAAAATGAAAATGAAATAGAAAGAAAATAAAGTTACTCATTCAACTACGTTCATATACTTCAAAAGCTGTGGTATTTGTGAAGGAAAAGAAACATGGACTATGCGGACATTTCAAAACACCTTAGTGTGTGATAAACAGCAGACGAGGAGAGCCCCATAGTCACGAGGACCTGTTGTTTATTGATGGAAACCGGTATCCTAATCCCCTGGACTTGGACTGACGAACCGCAAAACGCCCCACTAGATTGGGCGTGGTATTGAACCGGACGACAGAAAAGCGGTCTACCACTGAAGTTGGATGGTGAACGAGGGCACTCTTGAAGAACGTCGCTGCTGATGACAGACGGCCTATTTAGTTCGTTGTAAACCCTAACTCACTGAGTATTTTGTACTTTGAGCATTCCTTAGCGAAGGAGGGAGCCCATTGGTGCTTCATGGTCAACTGAGTCGAACGCTCATTTCAGGTCGAGGAAAACTGCGACCGTTGATTGACGGTGGGTGTGACGTAGCTTCATGACGTGACGCAAGCAAAAAGGTTGATCAATACATTCACGGCCAGGTCGGGATCCGGCTTGCTGTTCACGGATGTTGGTCTCTCTTAAAGGGGTTAGACGTCGAAGTATCATGGGGAATAGCACTTTGCTGACGATTGGGATCAAACTTATCCCGCGGTGGCTTTCGCAATCACTGTGGGATTATTTCTTCAAAAATGAGGACTGTCAGTGATTTCTATTTTCAAGGAAGGATAAGAGAGAACACAAACTGTCAGGGAGTCCGCATATGCCTTAGAACTGCTTTGTTTTGGTACAACCAATCACAATACGTTGACTGGTTGGAACCGACAACCAATCAAGACGATTCACAACTATCCAATCAACCGATGCATGTCTTCTCAAATCCTTCATCGTTCCAAGCTGGTTACACAATGAATGATTTCCTACAAGCTTTTAGTCATGTTCTATTCCACAAATATGGAAGAGAAACACGATCGTAAAACAATCGTTTGCAAATCCAGTACCGAGACGGATCCGTGCAATTATTAAAAACACGAAAACTCACTCGACTTTTGTTGTGGTGTGCCGTTCGACGGAACTGTTTTTGTTTTATCCTTACGTTTACGTTGGGCTGGAGCTGAAAAAACGGAGCGAAAAATACAATCAATTTTACTGTACGTCTATTTTCGAAACACAATTTCAAATGAATATACATTTTCGACGACTCAGAATCATACCGCAAAACTTGTGAATGAAATACCAAGGTTTGGGAAGCGAAGATAAGATCACTACTTTTATAAGGTCGTGCATCTTGTGCCTCCGTTCCTTCAGTTCTGCTTTGTGAAACCTCAAATTCGCGGGTGGAAGACAGTCATGAACACGGAATTTTCGACTATCAGTGCCTACGTGGTTTGGCACACGTGGGACGTAATTGCCGGGTTACTAATCTAGAGGTATGTCATCGTGCATTTGGAAGCTTATCGTTGATAAATTTGCTAGCGGATTGCATCTAGACTGGTAGGCTTCTTTGGTTAGGGCACGTATTGTGCATACCTAACAACCGCCTATCACTCAGCGCTTCATTATCAGTTATCGCTCTAAGCTTGCGAATCGACTTGCTATTGAGGTATGGAGTAATACACAGGGTTATCGAGTAGAGTAGGTTTTATATTACACATTTAAACGTGATGAACAGCAGACGGGGCGGACCCCATAGTCACGAAAACCTGCCGCTCGGTGATTGAAACCGGTAACCTAAGCCTCGAGACTTGTAGTGGCGAACCACATAAAGCCCCGTTTGGTTAGGCGTGGTATGGAACGGATCAATCTGTTGTCAGTTTGCACACGATATTCGCGGGTATGTCAGGTTAACCGAGTGAGTCCGGGCTGAATGCTCAGTGCTAAAGTGTGGATGTTGGTGCGTGGGAAGATCGGTGAGCCCGTGAATCCAGGGTAGAAGATCTGGAATCAAACCCGTTTTAGTCACGGTGTTAAATGTCTAAAGCGGATATACATGTTATCTATATTTTCACACACGTCTCAGTTCAGACTGTGTGCCGAATACATCACGGTATGATAATCTTTATACAAAGAGAAAAGGTCCATAATTTGCTCGAGGGCGCGACGCTGCCAGGGAATTCACAACTGGAGCCTTCGGCTAGCCAAAACCTGACCCGTAAGGTGTGAAAACCGATGTCCATTTCATCGGAGGGAGTCAAAGGTTCAAGGCGCCAAATACAACTGGATACCCGATCCAGCCGGTGATCCCCGCGGCGACTAATTGTGAGTGAGTGT